CCTTTGCTTTCTATTCTGAAAAGCCAATGGTCACATTCATGCTATTTGCCTATATTTTAGTGAATGGCACAGTTACTGGAGAAGCGACTGTCCTCTATTGGTGTGAGCCCACTACACTAATGATTCTAATGGTGTAGGACCAGGCTACTTAAGAAATTCCAAATCTCTATGTGAATATATTCTTTCAGGCAAGAACACTCAAACTTTTTTGGTTACATCATTGTATAAAATCTTTTAGTTGTCCAGTCGAGGAGCAGAAGCAATATCATGCAACACCACGACTAGTCCAAACAAAGAGTTCATATAGTTCTTTGTGGTTTGAAGTTTGTTCACAAGATCTGTTTCTCAAATCATTTCCACTAGCAACAGATTTGTGAAATTCACAATCTATCTGAAAACTATTTTCCAAACAAAAAAAAAATAAAGACTGAACTTACAATAAATATGATTTACAATAAATAATTCAACTCAACTTAACACTCGTCCTATTCTGACAGTCTCAGATGCCACCTAATGGCCTACAGAAACATGGCAAACTGGTTTACTAAATTTATATCAGCCAAATATGGTAGCTACACTTTGGGTGAAATAACATTTCAAACGAGTATGCTTTTTTGTAAATCTTCTGCATGGTGAGAATACCCAAAGTGTCGTCATATTTTAACAAGGTCAAAGAAAAGGATGTTCTTAATAACTGTAAATATAAACAGGTATTCCCATGGAAACTAAGGCTGCAAGAGGAAGTAATCACTCAATAGTCTAAGGAGGCAGCTCATTATTAGTCTTTCAGCCTCCTTTTTGCCTCTGTATTTACATTTTAGTTGAAAGATAGTACCATCCAAGTGAGCCTCCGGGCTTGGGGCCCGATTTTTAAAGGAACTGGGAGTTAGGAACCTATTCTTAAAAATCTGTCCCTAATGTCATTCAGTAGCCACTACATAGGTAGAATACAGGCAGGGCAAATTAACATGCCTCAATCTGAACAGGACAGGATCACCTACATGGACCCTCCCAATTAGCTGAACACATGGCCAATCTGCTGAGATTGTCAGTGCTGTCAAACAAAGCTACATATTACATGGGTCTGGATTCCTATCCAGGGCACATGATCTTAAACCCCCTCTCATTTCATACAGCTCAATGAACAGAGATGGGACGGTTCCAACTAATAGTTGGATTGGATTGCAACCAGCAGCTGGATTGGAACTAGCGGCCCCCATTGCTAACCCCTTAGTGACTGCCTCTTGATAGGCCTAGAAGAGACTTCAGGAGGACCAAAGCAGGACCAACCCCAACTCAATCAACCCAGCCAGGACTTTGTCAAGCCGGGACTTAAAAACCTCTAGGGATGGAGACTCTACCACCTCCCTAGGTAACCCATTCCAGTGCTTCACCACCCTCCTAGTAAAATAGCTTTTCCTAAAATCCAACCTAGACCTCCCCCACTGTAACTTGAGACCATTGCTCCTTGTTCTGACATCCATCACTAAAGAGACCTACTTCTCTCCATCCTCTTTGGAACCTCCCTTCAGAAAGTTTAAGGCTGCTATCAGATCCCCCCTCACTCTTCTCTTCTGCAGACTAAATAAGCCCAAATCCCTCAGCCTCTCCTCATAGGTCATGTGCTCCAGCCCCCTCATCATTTTGGTTGCCATCCGCTGGATCCTCTCCAGTGTGTCCATGTCTTTTTTATAGTGGAGGGCCCAGAACTGGATGCAATACTCCAGAGGTGGCCTCACCAGCACCAAATAAAGGGGAATAATCACTTCTCTAGATCTGCTGGCAATGCTCCTCCTAATGCACCCTAATATTCCATTCACCTTCTTGGATAGAAGGGCACATTATTGACTCGTATCCAGCTTCTCATC